CCTACAATTTCTAGATAAAAGATTTTTCTTCATTTTGAAACAAAGTTTAACATTTTTCATGCTACCGCGCATCGGGAAAATGTTCCGTGCCAAAACCCCCGTTTTCATGAGTAAATTGAGTATAGCTTCTTAATTATCAAAAATGATTGGTTGAAATTTTTATCAGATGCTAGTTACATTAGCTTTTCTATTTCCTGAAATTTTCATCGAAATCTGTTGTATCGTTTAGAAGATAGGTTTCGGAGGGGGGGTTCCCCCTTAAGAATAGCAATGAATTTCTTATTGTCGATCTGCTTTCGAAGAACCATACTATGTTTGAAACTTATCGCAAGAAATACAGAGACTATTTTTTTTTAAATTGATTTTCCATTATCTTAATTGTGTAAAAAAAGTCCTAAAGCAAAGATAGATGCGTAAAAGCTAATATTCGAAATTATCAAGACAAAAATAAACTCATTTGATGTTTACGAAACGAAGAAACAGCGGAAATAATATGAGTTACAGGGCCAATAGATGTATTATCTTGTGACTTTCTCAACATCTTGGCTCTTTTATCACTTTGTAAATTGAATGATCGCTGCTCTGGACAAGGACACAACGAAGACGGTAAACATCACTAGGTGTTCGAGTGAGTAACGAGTGCTAGTGTTGAAAAATTCCCGACAATAGTATCAGCTATGAGTATTACGTTGGTCTTTCTTATTATTGCTAAGCTTGTGGGGAAATCTATTAAATTAGCAGATGAAAGTATTTGCTTGTCTTCGTCAAATATTATTTGATTGATATATGGACAATGATCATTGAATATCGTCATGGAATTCTCACGTGGGTCGATCGACAAAGAAAGCATAATTGTAATTCTTTTAAAAAATCGTTACTATTACCCCATTTCAACAAAGGACTGATTCATATTTTTTGAATAACTTTGTACCACAATCATCTATGAAGTTTGAATTCGTTTCCTTTGAAAGAGGCTTGTCCAGTGCAACGATCCATATAAAACTGTGGATATTTATTGAATGAAGTAGTAGTGATCTAAGATCATCTTTAAAAACTAGATTGTTGCGTTATGAAGATGGAATGAATGTTAAATTTTGAGAAGTGAACTAGAACCACAACCTTCCAGCTAACAAATCTACGAAAGACCGAAATCTTTGTCTCAGATTCGTTCAAAAGCTATGTGTCAAATACTGACGGTGTGTTGATCAAACTTTTGCCAGTTTCACCAGACGCATAACATTTTCCATAGTGTTTATCACTGATATTTTCGATCATCACAAATTGATTAACAATGCTTATTTCGCTAAACAACAGATATTTTTCCATCAAAACCTTACTGCTAATGATTGTGAAATACTGCTTTCATATATAATTTCATATTCAACTTCGAATGCGTCTACCATTTCTCGTAGGTACATATGACTACTAATAACGCATATAGAGCCATACTTGAATTGGACGATATTTTTTATTTTGATATGCGTATTTTGGAAGTGTGGGTCCTGGATTTACTTGTTTGCCTGGAAAACACTCACACCCTTCGATATCTATGCACATACATCCACTCACACTTACATTCACACTCGCTATCATAAATACAAGAAACTGAAAGGGAAATCGGAAAGGAGTTTTTCGACTTTTTCTGAGGAGAACTTCAGGAATAGGAAAGGATCGAAAAACTTTCTACACTGAATGAAAAAAAGTGGTGCAATTTTACTCAGAACCTAGTGTTGTTACTAGCTTGATATAAAATTTTCATATCTGTTTTGGATGGAAAAACTGGCTTGCCGCTTCTCATTCTTTCATGCTTTATTGAACAGTGAAAGAATCAAGCTTTTGTACAGTATTTAGTCTGGTAGAATGGGACATACCGAGCTCATTCTGTATACAACCGTGCGGTGGCTACCACAACTATAGACAAATAATATGTTCTCTAGAGTTTGTATTTGGTTAAAATTTATTTTGAATCAGTGAATCGTCTTTCAATGGGGAAAACAGACTCAATGTAAGAGTTGCTTTCAAAACTTGGTATAAATCCAATAGGTTTACGCTCGTAATAACTTCGATAATGGGTTTCGAAGTCTTTCAGGATTAATAGGCCCTGATTCTGGAATGTTAGTACCGAATTTAGCCCTATCTTGTATGACAATATGTTGTGGATGTGCAGCATATGCTATAAGTGAACCACCGCTTATATGTCCACGCCAAAACACATCAGCCACTTGCGAATTTTTTGTGTTAGACCAATTAATTAGTTTTTCAACTACCGTTGAATTACGAACAACATAGGCAAACGCGCAGAAAAATGTATCTGCTCTGCAAATATTGTTTGAATAAACATGTTTGCACCACATCTCACTGTGGCCCAAAAGAAATATTTCCCAGTCATTTGGAAGTGAATGCAGAGCTTCTTTAAGGAGAAACGGTGCATCAGCTTCCAGATCAATATCATCTTCGAATATAAGAACAGGTCTATCATTTGGTGAGACTTCACTGATTATTTTAAAATAAACTTGTAAATGACTCTGCCAGGCGGCTATCTGGCCACTGATGCTTGATATATTGGATATATTCTGAATATATTTGGTTCTTGGATCGAATCTATTCAGCTGTTGAAGAAATTTTTTGCCATCAATAGCCGGAAATCTTGTAAATGGAATTTGGAGATAATCAAGCAATTTCGATACATGAGCAAGCCTGTCTTTTCTAATATCAAGGTTGATAACGAACACTTTATCGATTCCTATTTCTTCCAGTGTTAAAAATCTCTGTGATGTAGATTCATTGGTTGCATTAAGCCCCACAAGAACACAACAGTAAGCACAACCATATCTAAATTTGTTATCATACACTTCAAACATTTTTTGTCCTTTTACAGAAGGTGAACATCTATTGGAACCGATATATGTCTGATTTTTCAACCTATCTTTAAGATAACAAAGGCCGTGGACACGAGGATGCTCTGGATAAAGATTTGTTATGTTCCATTGCATGGTTCTCTCACAAAACCTCGCCTCTTCATGCCAAATAAATATGACATAAATATTAACCAAAATGCATAGAAGTAACACACTGTAAAAATGATTTAAACGTGTTCCACGAGACTGCCATGCGCGTTTAAGGTATATAAATACTGAATTTGTCATAGAAGAATTGTCCGATTCTTACGTTGATTTGTATAGCCGATCTAAAAACGTGAGACAAAGTGTCTGTATGGGTTACTTCTTCATCAATAAACACATCCACACACTTTATATTATTTAAATATAAAATAGAAATCAAAGAATCAAAGATTATATCTTTCTATGGTAGTCAAATAGACAAATAACTAGCAGAACAACAGAATATGTTGATCAGTTTTCTTTCTTATCACCAACAATACTACGATACGTGATGCTGCTAAATATGACAATAATATAGGAAACGATATATGCAAAAAGACCTTGTCTTATTTTCTTTTT